TCTCTTCCTTCTCTCTTTCTCTAGTTCTTTCTTTCTACCTTTCTTCTATCTTATAAATCACATTTATAGTAGTTATTTAAAACTCAAGCTCTGTAATTCAAATTATGGTCTTCTGGAGCAACCATGAAGACGGAAGCAGTACGTTCCTTCGAAACATTTGTAACCACCTACAACACGACACGATGTCACAACCCAGGAGACCAAGATATGTCTATCAGTCTGACACGTGTGACGTAGGTAAAGTTGTCCTTGTGCTTAATTAAGCACCGCGCCATGATGACGTGTGGGGGAGTGACTATAGATGGAGGTGAGTCTTCGGCTTCACATCCACTGACAGCCCCAGAGCCGGTGCGTACGCTGTCGAGAGTAAGTGGAACCGAACCTCGATTCGTCGGTCGTCTCTATACCGACTGAGCTGCCCCGCCACCGTTGTGTAAAGTAGACAAACGTCAATTAACTGCATACACATATGTGCAGCTGCGCAGCTCTTCCCGCCCGAGGTACTGTTACGTCACTGCGGCTGCGCGCACACTGAAGTGAGCAGAGCTGCCAACACGGCCAACAAAACACAACTACCTGGCTTGCCCGTAACTTTGTGTCATCCTAGCTTCGCATGGCGGCGAATCTTTTGGGATGTAATGCCGTGTAGTCTGGAAGCTGATTATCAATCTTCAGATGAAGTTTGTTTGTTTCTCTTAAATGTTGGTAACCATGTGCAAGACTACATGGTGTCACGTTTTAGTAGACTACAGCCTAAGACACCCGTCACCATCGCCTGGTCGTACATCTCCCGACTACCGACTCTGTACATGTCTCTGTGCAATTCAATGGTGGGTGTGTTAGTGGTAACACAGCGCGCCAACAGAGCGCTGCACACGCTTTTGCCGATAGCAGAAATTATGGCAGTAAGTGAATCTGCCAACAGTAGTCTCTCTGTCGTCAGCTGCCGGCATATTCATGTAAATATGTTACTTAGAACTTGATGAAACCTGCATCTTTGGAGAGTATTGCCACGTGTTTCTAGGTGTGACTATAGACGGGGTTTGGATTGGGGAATGGGATTTATGAACCACTCAGAACTGAAGTAATTACAGCGCTGTTGGCTGAGTGGTTATTTGCCTGAACGAATTGCTCGTCTGAGTCTTCGGCTGGTTGTGTCTGTTTCACTGCTAGACTCACTGGCTAAGTACCTGGAGGCCGTTCAGTGTAACGCCGGCCCGCGCGTTCCCCTTGGCTACTGTGTGCCCAGTTGCAGCGCCGACCCCACGAAGGAGGAACAGTGTCAAGGCGAGCCACTGCGCTGAAGAGCACAGAAATGTCTTAATGTTCGGCCCAATGTGGGGCGCACTCCCCCAGCATTGTGCCCTATTTACGTATTTTCATATCGTTTCTAAGACTAGCGAAACAGCCGCTGAGAGAATTCGAAAGGGAGTCCCATCATTTGTTATATAAACTCTTAACGTCCCCCGTTTCTCCCGTACTCCTTCCCTCTCGTGCATGCCACGGTAATATCCCTACACTTATGATGCGGGACAATTTTCCGATATAATTGGCCTTCAAGTTTCAGGTATCCGTATTTGATATGCCAACTTACAGATCCATCATTATTGCTGAACAGTCTGAGAGATTGGTGAGGCGCATTATAGAGTACAACTAAGACTAATAATGGTTACTCTTAAAGCTTTTGTAAAAGGAAAACACGTAAGAAGCCACCATTTGCATTTGTATTATACGGCAAAACACTGATACACAGCTGTCGCGCATTCAAAAACTCGTTTTCTCAAACCGAGAAAGTTACTAGCACATCTGACGCTCTGCTACACTGCTTTGAAGCGAACTGATGCACATACAATTAGTTGACGCTGAAACGTCGAGACAGTCATTTGTTCCAAGTTACGAACACTGTTGCCACACGACTTACTTACTATACGGGGAAAATTATCGGAAAGGGAACAGACAGGAGCTGCAAATGTGCAGCGACTCATAGTCCAGAGCTACCTGCTTCACTTCTTTAAATTACAGAGCCCCCTAGTAGAGTAACCAGCAAATGAATATATTATCTTAAAATTAGTTAATTCAAACAGATTTCGGAAATGTGGTAATATCTTAGGCTAATTTATTTTTGAAACTGCAGGCTATAGGAGCGTGTAGTCCGCTAAAGTCAACAGACGTTTCTGAGGACAATGTCGCCTCCATGTTCAGGGCCCAAGAATAAAATAAGCTAGAAACCAGGGTGAAGTAGATAGCAATAGATCGTCTTGACGTCAGAACACACCTAACATGTCAGTCCTGCGCAGTGAGGTCCTCTGGAGCTGTCACAGGCAACACAATTAACACGCAATGATGCGTAAAGCCTGAGACTAAATGAAGAAAAGTGCTCAAGTAACTCTGATATGTCATTTGCAGTCGTCACAAAAATGTCAAGATTCTCGTGGGCACTGCAAGGAGGTGAAGGGCTTGTCCCAGTGAGGAGAAAGTCTGCACCAAGTGCGTCCACTCAAGTCCACTGTAGACACAGAGGAAAGGAAATGCGAGACGTTCCGGGAAGAAACGGCGATGACTTCCTGTCAGAAAAACAGAAGAACCCATGAATTAAACATTAGGGCCTATGTCCTCTGAGAGTATATCTGTATGCTTACAAGACACGCCACGTCAAAGTTAAAAATGCTTATGGTTCATGAGCTACAGCATTCAAATAAATTAAAAAAAAAATGGGTTTTGCGTTGCCTTCGTGTGAGAGGAACGTGCCCAGCGCCGCTGCACACTGCACTCATATCTCTCAAGCATTCCAAAAATTTCAGATTCCAAACAAACAATTATAATCCTGTCAATGCAATGCATCTCCTTCTGTTTCCTCCTCTGTGTGAAAGGTAAAGTTGTCCTGTGCTTAACTAATTAAGCACTATGCCACAAAGATGTGGTGGGGGGAGGGGGGAGTGGATGTAGTGTGAAAGTGATTAGAACCATAGGAACAGCAGACAACGACTTACATGGAGGTTGCGTTTATTAACAATTGATGAATTTATACGTTTGTAACTACTACTGAAGAAAATCACGAGAAACTTATGGATGATAGAACTCCCTATAAAGCTGTTTCGTCCGTCTGTTCGTCACTTCTAATAAAATCGGATCATCCCCTAAACATTATCGTAATTTTGTCGAATTTGTATGAGACATTGCCGAACCGCGCATCACGGCCCGAGAAACACTGATAAGCTGGAAGTTTTATCTTTTGAAGGTGTGATTCTGTATCTGTTGAGAAACTACAAATACATTTGTATGTCATGTGTACCTGAATTTTATGTGAGCATTGTCAAATTTAAGAGAGAAGTGAAAGCCTTCGTATTTTTCCTCTTTTTCTTTTGTAAATCCAAACGACCAGACGGGAGTGGGCATACGTATACGAGTATGAACGTACAAACCATGAATTGTAAGATTTTAGGCTTTCGCGGCGGTGACTATGAAGAAAGCAGTCTTCTGGGATTTGGCACCGTGTATATGTGGTGTTAACCAACGTTTCGGAGGAACGTATCGCCGGTACCGGTTCTCATGGTCTCTTCGCTTGCGGATTTCTTATATTTTTCCTTCTACCCTGAAGATGGAGGCGATACGTTCCTCCGAAACGTCGGTTAACACCACATATACACGGTGCCAAATCCCAGAAGACTGCTTTCTTCAAACCATGAATTGTTAGTGATTGCCGGCCATGCGTAAGAAGAGAGAGGAAACCAAAAACTGCAAGATTAAAAAGAAGGTTAAATAAATGCTAGTTGTTAATGGCTTAATCAGATTGCAATTTGTACGATATTATGTGGAAATTACAATAAAATAATTTCTATAATAAACTATGCTAAAATAAAGCACCTATGATAGATAAAACCATAAAAATTCACATTAAAATTAGTAATTACTATTAAAAAAATCCTTCAGTGAATAAAAAGAATTCAATAGAAGGTAATTTTTTAGAGTATTTTTAAATTGATTCTTATTATCAGACAATTTTTTGTGCAAGGAGGTAAGTGATTAAATGCCTTTATACCTATATAATAAACACCATTTTTATAGACAGACAGCCTTGGTTGTGAAGGTTAAAAATTATTTTTACCTCTGGTGTTCATATCATATAACTCTGAATTTGTTTTCGATAAGGAAATATTTTCAATTACAAAAAATAGTAATGAAAATATATACTGACAATAAAACGGTAATATATATAGTTTCTTAAACAACTCCCTACAGGAATCCCTATTTCTGGAATTTGTAATAATCCTTATGGCCTTTTATTTTGTAGTTTAAATATATTGATACTATAAGGGGAATTCCCCCAGAAGATTATACCATATGACATAACTGCATGAAAATAAGAATAGTAAATCATCCTTAGTGATTCATGGGACACAAAGGGTCTTAAAGATCTAATAGCATAACATGCTTTGCTTAATTTAACCATAAGTCCATCAGTATGATGCTTCCATGACAAGGAGCTATCAACTTCAATACTTGTTATTAAAATCTACACTTCTTTCATTCATTCTTCACAGATTACAATTTTGCTTCAATAGTACAGTTCTGTATTCATGAAAATTCTTGAAAGGATCATTTCAAAAGTATTTTTATTGAAGGTTTTACAGACTTTAAATGTAAAAACCCTTTTACATTATTTCATTTTTGATCTCTATGCCTGAGATAGAATTCTCAGCCTCTTTAAAAGACACAGTTTTCATGATCAGTGTTTTAAAGGTTTCTGCAATTAAAGGAACAAAGTTAGCATTATGTTAGTGACGAGAACTGCCTCGAATCAAGTTTCCCGCCCATTTATTTCAATTTGGAGCTGTGTGCCAGAGTGCTGCAGCTCTTTGCTTTTGGGACTACATCCATACCTCTGTCTGACTCTAACATTTCATGTTCAGGGGTTGTAACATGAAGTTATGAACAAGCATGACAGTTATTTTTATCAGTTACATGTGATTTGTTAATACAGGGAATATTATTTATTTCAGAAAATTCAAACCATCGAATGTCACTCAAGTTTATTTGGAAGAGAAGACTAATGTCAGATAGCAGAAGGTAACAGCATTTAGAAGATTCTTGGACCCAACATTGCTGTGAAGATGAGCCATCTGTGATACAGATATCTTAATTTAAAGATAGGACATTATTTTACGGAATTTTATTTGTTTAATTCTGGTCAGTCACTCTAACAATTACAAAGACAAAAACAACACCGTCCAGTGTGACTACTTAAGTTTTATTATTTGAAAACTCATCACCCTTACATGTTTTGATCCCTACGGATCATCCTCAGAGGTCATCAATACTTTTTCCAGAAACTACTATTACAATAGGTGTCAAATTATATACATACACATATAATGTCTGAAATACACAATGTATATGATGTTCAACTTTTCACAGTCACAGCATCCTTCCTGGTATTAAAATTTTTAAAGTTTTTTAAAAATGTTGTTGTTTAAGATTAAAATTTTTAAACCATGCAGGTTCATGTCAATTCTCCTATTGTCTTTCTTGGAGGTGGCTGATCTTGTGCCTCCTGTCTATCTTGAGAAAGGAGATTCTTAGTATTGTCCATGTTTGCTCGTTGTTTGCTGTGTACACAACACATACTTTATAAATTAAGAATGCAGAGATCTCGTACAGATGGTTATTGATTCTTTTCTACAAAATGCGGGAGCCTTGAAGACTCACAACCCTATGGACCTACACAGCCTGTTAATGGGATAGTTTACCTTTCTTTTTCCTTTCTTTACCAGTACAGCCTATCCAAGTTTCCCATAGTCCTTAACCTAGAAAGATACCCCACTTCAGTCATGTAGCCTGAGCCTAGTCTAGCTAACATTAATGTGAGATGTTCAGGCTGACTTGATCCCGCTCTGAACTGCACAGCCAGGGCATTCAGCCACCATGAGCTTTGCCTAGGATAGCTAGGCCAGACTAGCAGGAGACCTAGCTAAGGCAAGTGAAAAGCCTAATTTTCCCATGTTTCCAGGCTTAAATAGCTCATTACTCCCATCCCTCACCCACAGCAAGCAGGCCAAATCTAATTGTCATAGAATTTAGGTTCTGACAGGGACTTGAAGTGGCTAGATTAATGACTGTGGAACAAGCATATATATTCCTGAAGAATAACCTAGCCTGGTCATTGCTGCACATGACGACTAGCCTGAAAATAGCGTAGCTATCCAGGCTAGTCAGCTGAGATCTAATGTATCTTAGCAATAAACAAAAGCAGTTCAAAACCTGCCTCCATCTGCAGATAGTGTCATAATCCCGACGACAGATGTCACGAAAGGCCAATCGTCAAACCACGTGATCATATCGACCAATCACAATCGCTGTAAGCTTTGCTGAATTTGGGCCAATGATAACACAGTTTGTGTCGAACAGCAAAAGTATGATGTGGTGGTAATCGCGGTAAGTGCAATATCTCGCTACCTTCGTTGATGGATTTAGTTTGGTTTCGCTTATTAGGTTGGTCAGATGGGAGGAGGCAGGGGTGAGTTTGGTTATGTTAAATTCAATTAAGGTTAAAAGTAAAGTAAAGCTATTCCTCTAACAGGCCATGAAGGCCCATAGGGTCGTGAGACGTTAAGGGTCCCACATTACCTTGACAATCGGCTCAAAGATGGCGGTAAGCTTGTCAGCCTTACGCGCTCGCCGCGCTTCACTCCCGAGGAAAATTATTTAATTAATTCCTGGTACTCATTTCCGCTCATTTCTGTTAGAGGCTGAGTAAACCCCAGGGCCTAGTGCGGCCGGAAGGATTAGGTCAATTAAAAGAAATCCAGTGACCTCATCGGGACTTGAACCCGCGACCTTCACAGGATTTTAATTAATTAGTAATATTCGGTAATATTTACGTACGTTGAGGTAGTGTGACGTTACATTTCATAATGTAAAAGCTTTCTGTGTATGCCTTGATGATTTGATATAAATTTGTTCAGTAAGCAGGAGACGAGTGTACTTGACAAATATTGTTCATCGTACATCTTCGTGAATATATAAATTTGAATCATATAGACTCTTATTGTAGGTGCAGCTGCAGTTCTGCAGTTGGGTTATGGTTAAACGTGTCTGTGCTTCAGCTCTGAGGTGGTTGTAAAGGTAAATGTAAGCCCGTCACTGTGATCGAAATAATTAACAAACTCACAGTATGCTGCGGAATGAAACAGATATGTCATGTAATAACAGAGTTATAGATGCTGATTTCATGTGCAAAATAATGATTACTCTTAATATTCTTGTTAGAAATTGAGAATTTGAAGTATGCCATTATGGGATCATATTGGAGAGAGAGGGAAGGACTTCTTAGAAATGTTATGCAGGTTTATATGATTCGTTATTAGAAGAAAAGATTAATATTATTACAGGTACTTACGAAACAGCACTTCACAGTATAGATTAGCTTGTATTTGGCTCATGAAATTTGGCGTTGTAGGAGAGTTTATAAGTAGATACAAATTTTGTGTTAGACACTTTTCTGTATTGGTAAATATGAGTTTGGTCATAGTGAACTGTAAGTAATGAAGCTTCACTGTTTCAGTTACTTTCTTTGCAAATAATTTTGCAGTATGAAAGTATGTGTTGACTCCCATCAATTCTCCATGCCTTACATAGTCGTTTGAGTGGTTTGTAGCCATATTGTATTAATTGTTGAGCAGAGTGTTAACACTGTGTAATGATGGAACTGATACATAACTCAGGTCCTGGGGAAGATCAGCATTTTCATTTTATGAGCTGATTGTCCTTGACGTTGGTTATTGTGCTTGAATATTCTTGTTCAATTTGTTTCCGGTTCTTCTAGAACCAATATTTGGTCCTCGCTAATAATCTAATGTAGATAATTGCATTTTATAAAATCTGTAATGTTGTATTTTAGCGTCCTGTTACACTGATTTTCATCCATGATATGTATGCCGTGTCCGTCTTGTGCACTCAATTTCACCTGTTATTTCACAACATGTTTCGGCAACATAGTGCCATCATCAGGTGCTCCATTTACATTAATCTATTGCATTGCTTGCCATTATGTCATTGTAAAATTATTTAAAAAATATTTTTAAATATTCGTCAATTACAATAAATTTTTATACACTAAAATCTTGTTAAGATATTCATCTTATATGTCCCAATTCAAACCCACGCCTGGTTCCTCCACTATGGGAGTCGTGTCTTTCTTATGTAGCTGCGTGCGTTGTATTGCTGGATGTACAACACACGCAGCTACATAAGAAAGACAGTATATACACAATTAAAACATAAGAACGACTCCCATAGGGGACGAATGGCGTTACACAGGAGTTTGATATATGACATGTAAGATGATAGATCTTAACAAGTTTTAATATATAAATGTTATTATTGAACAACGATGAACATGCATTTTATATCATTTTATAAATGGACACTTGTTGGCAGGCAGTGCAATGGTTTAACATTATTGATACACCTGAGGATGGCAGAATGATGCCAAAACATGTAGTGTGAAGTGACAAGTGAAATTGTATGCACTAAGAGACAGTAAATATATACACATTATGAATATGAATCAGTGCAACAGGACGCTAAAATACAACAAGCATAAGTTCTTCCATGAAATTTTTTATATATAAGTAGTGCAGTATTGCATGGCTTGCATTTGTAAGGGAATGGAAATTTATTTTCCATTTTAAGGAGCTGAAGTCTTTACTTTTATATATTATTACAGTGTTCTAATATGGAGATATTTTTGAGCAAAATTTGCTTAGTGTATGGGTATTATGAGCACCTTTTCTTTAGGCCAGTATGTATACAAGCAAATACTTGATCTGTATTGACAAGCTTCTCAGAAGTCTCACACATTTACCATTGCACTGTATTTTTCAGTCTTGAGGCAAAAACTGAACCTGAGAGTACCAGCAAACATGTTTGTGTGTATGTGTGTGTGGGGGGGGGGGGGGGCCAAGTATTATCATGCAGGAATGTTATGTAACCATAAATTTTTTGTGTCATTGCAAGCCACATAGGAGTTTTACATTTTGTTGAAATTAAAATTGGATCAAGTTTGAAACCATACATACAGATTCGCATGCAAATCAGAACCTGTTTTTTAATGCTATACATGTAATTGTTTCAGGCCTGCAACTCACCAGCACAAGACCTCAAGTGGCTCGTCTGCCATAAGAGGAAGGAGTTGTTGCTGTACAGTCATAACGAGCAAGTTACAGCATTTCTCTGACATCCAATATGCTGTCCTATCATCCATGCATGGCTCTTTCAGATAGCCTTTTCTCTTGCGGCTATGCCACCGGAATCTATGCACGTCAAGACTGAAGTGAAGATCTGTGCATGTCAGGACTGAAGTGAGAATCTCTGCGTGTCAAGACTGAAGTGAAAATCTGTGCATGTCAGGACTGAAATGAAAATCTGGGCATGTCATGGCTGAAGTGAAAATCTGGGCATGTCAGGACTGAAGTGAAAATCTGGGCATGTCAGGACTGAAGTGAAAATCTGGGCATGTCAAGACTGGAGTGAGAATCAGTGCAAGTCAGGACTGAAGTGAAAATCTGTGCAAGTCAGGACTGAAGTGAAAATCTGTGCAAGTCAGGACTGAAGTGAAAATCTATGCATGTCAAGACCGAAACATGACAGGAAGATACTATTACAGTATTACAGGAAGAAATGTCAGTTTGATGTGTGTGACCATGTCAGACTGATACTTATTTGTCCAACAAACTGCCTCTGTTGCTTTACTGTTTGCATGTAGGAGGGTAACACATATGCGTGATATCATCCGACTTTGTGTGTTGCTTTGATGCCGTCGATGTGCAACATCGGTTACTATTCACTTGCTTTTCTTTATTGCCACTACATGTTTCAGCCCAACCAGCCATCTTCAGGTGTACAGGTTAGATTGTAGAATCTGCTGCCCACTGTAATGCTGTTTTATTTCCGTTACGTGGAGGCCTCGAATTGCATCTGGTTATGTGGGTTAGTTAACTTTTTTTTTTATTTAGGTGTCCTTGAGCTGCTGATGTTTGCTTCATGGGTTTGTTTGGCTGTGGCTGTCTTGAATGTTCTTGCTGGTGTGAGAATTTGTTGTGTTGATGGCCAACCACAGTACAACAAATATGCCCAGCTCAAGGACACCTAAACAAAAAATGGATGGTTAACCCACATAACCAGATGCCATCCGAGGTCTCTACATAACAGCAA